TAATAGGGGTGCCAGAAGATGAGAGACAGCAAGATATTGAAAACCTATTTGAAGAAATAATGACAGAAAACTTCCCCCACCTGGTGAAAGAAATGGACTTACAGGTCCAAGAAGCGAAGAGAACCCCAAACAAAAGGAATCCAAAGAGGACCACACCAAGACACATCATAATTAAAATGCCAAGAGCAAAAGACAAAGAGAGACTCTTAAAAGCAGCAAGAGAAAGAGACTCAATTACCTACAAGGGAATACCCATACGACTGTCAGCTGATTTCTCAACAGAAACTTTGCAGGCCAGAAGGGAATGGCAAGAAATATTCAAAGTACTGAATACCAAGAACCTACAACCAAGATTACTTTATCCAGCAAAGCTATCATTCAGAATTGAAGGTCAGATAAAGAGCTTCACAGATAAGGAAAAGCTAAAGGAGTTCATCACCACTAAACCAGTATTATATGAAATGCTGAAAGGTATCCTTTAAGAAGAGGAAGAAGAAAAAGGTAAAGATACAAATTGTGAACAACAAACATGCATCTATCAACAAGAGAATCTAAGAATCAAGTGAATAAATAATCTGATGTACAGAATGAACTGGTGATTATAATAGAATCAGGGACATAGAAAGGGAATGGACTGACTATTCTTGGGGGGAAAAGGGGTGTGGGAGATGCGGGAAGAGACTGGACAAAAATCGTGCACCTATGGATGAGGACAGTGGGTGGGGAGTGAGGGCGGTGGGTGGGGCGGGAACTGGGAGAAGGGGAGTTATTGGAAAAAAAGAGGAACAAATGTAATCAGAACAATAAAGATTTAATTAAAAAAAAACCAAAAAACAAAATTAAAACGCCAAGGGTAAAGACAAGGAGAGAATCTTAAAAGCAGCAAGAGAAAAACAGTTAGTTACCTACAAGGGAGTACCCATATGACGGTGAGCTGATTTCTCAACAGAAACTATGCAGGACAGAAGAGAGTGGCAAGAAATATTCAAAGCGATCAATAGCAAGAACCTACAACCAAGATTACTCTACCCAGCAAAGCTATCATTCAGTATTGAAGGTCAGATAAAGAGCTTCACAGATAAGAAAAAGCTAAAGGAGTTAATCACCGCCAAACCAGTATTATATGAAATGCTGAAGCGTATTCTTTAAGAAGAGGAAGAAGGAAAAGATAAAGATAAAAAATTATGAAAAACAAAGTGACAACAAATACATATCTATCAACAAGTGAATCTAAAAATCAAGTGAATAAAAAATGTGACGAACAGAATAAATTGGTGAATAGAATAGAATCAGGGGCATAGAAAGGGAGTGGACTGACAATTCTCGGCGGGGAAAGGGATACAGGGCTGCGGGAAGAGACTGGACAAAAATCGTACACCTATGGACAAGGACGGGGGCGGGGGTGGTTAGGGCAGAGGGTGGGGTGGAAACTGGTTGGAGGGGACTTATGGGGGGGAAAAAGAGAAACAACTGTAATAATCATGCGTCAGCCGACGGAGAACCAAGATGGCGGCATAGGTTAATGCCGGAGTTTGCTGCCTCGAACAACCACTTCAAAAGTACAACTAAAAGACGGAACGGACATCATCCAGAACCACAGGAAGGCTGGCTGAGTAGAAGTTCTACAACTAGGAGGAAAGAGGAAACCATACCCAGACTCAGAGGAGGTGCAGTGCTGAAGTGAAATACTAAGGTGCGGAGTGCATGCGGAGTGGGCCGGCGGCAGAGGGTGTGGTTGTTGTTTTCAATAGGGAGGGAGTTTCAGACTCTGAGCTCCAGATCCGGGCGAGTCTCTAGGGACCCAGACTCAAACGGGAGAAGCGGGAAGGCAGCTTTCTCTCCGAGGTTTGCAGCGGTTGCAGAGCTGCTGGGGACGGAACTGAGAGCAGCCATAACTGCTCGCTCTGCTCGCCCTGTAGATCCCCTGGGACCTGCCCCACCCAAGCCCTGCACAGAGGCATTTGCCGGATAGCCTTAGGCAAAGGCTAGATTAGCATCGCCCTAGAGATCCAGCACAGAACTCTCCCACTGCAGACACAGCTGACTCTCATAGCCAGTTAGCCTGGAGGTCAATTTAACGCCAGTATTGCCGACAACAATCAAGGCTTAACTACAACAAGACTGCGCACAAAGACCACAAGGGGGTGCACCAAGAAAGCATAAAAAATGCAGAGACAAAGAAACATGACAGAAATGGAGGATATAGAGCTAAAAAACGCACTTTTAAGGTCTTTCAATAATCTTCTAGAAACTGCCGATAAACTTGATGAGAGCCTCAAGAAATCTAATGAGACCCTCGATGTTGTGATAAAGAACCAACTAGAAATTAAGCATACACTGACTGAAATAAAGAATATTATACAGACACCCAACAGTAGACCAGAGGAGCGCAAGAATCAAGTCAAAGATTTGAAATGCGAAGAAGCAAAAACCACCCAACCGGAAAAGCAAAAGGAAAAAAGAATCCGAAAATACGAAGATAGTGTAAGGAGCCTCTGGGACAGCTTCAAGTGTACAAACGTTAGAATTATAGGGGTGCCAGAAGATGAGAGACAGCAAGATATTGAAAACCTATTTGAAGAAATAATGACAGAAAACTTCCCCCACCTGGTGAAAGAAATGGACTTACAGGTCCAAGAAGCGAAGAGAACCCCAAACAAAAGGAATCCAAAGAGGACCACACCAAGACACATCATAATTAAAATGCCAAGAGCAAAAGACAAAGAGAGACTCTTAAAAGCAGCAAGAGAAAGAGACTCAATTACCTACAAGGGAATACCCATACGACTGTCAGCTGATTTCTCAACAGAAACTTTGCAGGCCAGAAGGGAATGGCAAGAAATATTCAAAGTACTGAATACCAAGAACCTACAACCAAGATTACTTTATCCAGCAAAGCTATCATTCAGAATTGAAGGTCAGATAAAGAGCTTCACAGATAAGGAAAAGCTAAAGGAGTTCATCACCACCAAACCAGTATTATATGAAATGCTGAAAGGTATCCTTTAAGAAGAGGAAGAAGAAGAAAAAGGTAAAGATACAAATTATGAACAACAAACATGCATCTATCAACAAGTGAATCTAAGAATCAAGTGAATAAATAATCTGATGTACAGAATGAACTGGTGATTATAATAGAATCAGGGACATAGAAAGGGAATGGACTGACTATTCTTGGGGGGAAAAGGGGTGTGGGAGATGCGGGAAGAGAATGGACAAAAATCGTGCACCTATGGATGAGGACCGTGGGTGGGGAGTGAGGGCGGAGGGTGGGGCGGGAACTGAGAGGAGGGGAATTATGGGGGGAAAAAAGAGGAACAAATGTAATAATCTGAACAATAAAGATTTAATTTAAAAAAAAATAAAAACAAAAAAAAATAATCATGCATCATCTTCATGCTTGTTTTCAAGATTGATTTTATCATTTTCCTCTCTGTGTCTGCTTCCTGTCCTTGAAACTTTGTCACCTTCTTTAAATACCACACCCAAAATTTCACAGCCCCCCTTTGCACCATCCTTCTTCCTATACACTATACAATATACTATTTCACTTATTTATCTTGTTCCTAGTCGGTCTCCCCTGCTAAAATGTTTATTCCGCCTGGTGGGCATGGCTCAGTGTTTGAGCTGCGACGTATGAACCAGGTTACTGTTTGATTCCCAGTCAGGGCACATGCCCCAGTTGTGGTTGGAGTTGTGGGCTCAGTCCCCAGTGGTGGGCATGCAGGAGGCAGCCGATCAATGATTCTCTCCCATCATTGATGTTCCTATCTCTCTCCCTTTCCCTTCCTCTCTGAAATCAAAACAAAGATATTAAAAAAGGTGAACTCCATGAGGGCAGAAATTGTTGCAGCTTTGTTCATGATGGGTCTCCAGAAACTAGAGCAGTGGCAGGCATCCAGTCAGTACTCAGTGAGTATTTATTGGATGACTTAATGAATTCACCTTTCCCCTCACTCCCAGGGCCAGTTAATTCTGCATCTGTGGTGACTTGCTTCTGTCCTTTTTTTTTCTTGTGCTGCTGCCGTTTGTTCAACTGTCATTATTTCTCAGAACTATCACAAGAGCCTGCCACCCGCTAGCTAATGAAAGCTGGCAAGTTATTGAAATCATCATAATTCCACATGTAAAAATGGGGATGGTACAGACTCATGAAACTGTCACAGGCTTATGTACATATATAATGCATGTGAGTGCTTGGTCTGGTGTCTGTAAAACAGAATAGACACTCAGGGAATATTAGCTCTTGTCTAGTTCTGGCTTAGCTTTCCTGCCTTGTCTCCTGCCCCATATGTCCCTTAACCCTATACGTTGGCTCCAATGGACCCGTTGTGGTTGCCCAAACATCACATGCAAGTTTGTTGTACAGGTAACGCACAGCAGGAAACAAGAGGCAGGCAGGACCAGCTAATGTCTTTCTCTCTGCCATATAAGGTACTTTCGGACCACATAGCCTGTGGTTTGCATCAAAGGAAGAGCAAGCTGAACGCTTTTTGTTTTTCATTTTTATTGCAGCGGATCTAAACCGAAACTAAGAGAACTATGTCGAGTGTTTTTTGTTGAGCCTCGAAATTTTGGCTAAACCGATTCATAGGTTTTTAATATTTTAGATGAGAACAGTGAGACCCAGGAAGAATAAGTAATATACCCGACGTTATGCAGCAAGACAGAAGCTAAATTGGGCAAAAGCATTTCCTTTCCTAAACTTAGGGTTTCTTATTCTTCAACGTGCTGGCGATAAACTCCAAAGAGTCTTGTCTTAGGAAAGCTCGCTGCCCGTGCCCCCAGAGACAATTCCCTTAGATGCAGATACAACTTTAGGTAGCAACTGAACCATTTAATATCGACAGAGGTAGCAGCTTATCAGATAGCATTGCGAGCCACACCCAGAGCCTTGGCAGAGAGACTGACAGATACCGAATATAGAGGATTTAGACTGAGCGAGCAGCGCAACACCAGGGAGTCCCTCGGTGACTACATGGGTTTGTTCGGGTATTTACCTGGGCCAAGGCCGGAGAGAAGCGAGAGAAACTGGAACCACCAGATCATGCTCTTAGCATCGGTGCTGGAGACTTCCCGCCAGTAAAACTCATTCACCAGTAAAACTGCAAGTGCTTCAAATAGAAACTTCCGCTTCCTCTTAGAGGCGTGGCACCAAAGAGACAGATGAGAAGAGCAAGGACCACGGACCGAAGCCCTGGGTGCCTAGCAAAGGACAATTGTAGGAGGGGGCCTCACCCTCCGTAGTGATAATATTTAAGCCTCCATGGTATTTCAGGCCCCGAAAACAGGAAAACCGGACAAGCAATGCGATGGCTGACATCGGGACAAGCTGCCTTGAGGAATGAGCCCGTGTCCTGGCGCTGACTCATTTCCGCGCCCGAAAGCGCACACCTAGAAAGCTGCTGAATATTCTATTGGGGTCTTCCCCTGGGATCTTCCCTGAAATCTCCACCCTTAAAACCCGTAGGATGGAAGACCCAGTGATGGGGAGCATAAGACATTTTGGGGGCTAGCAATCTGAATTTGTCCCAGTGACCTGCTTTCTACTGCACTCTTTTGCTAGCCCATAATTAACTCCATTTGTGAAAGAACGTAGAAAACTAGCAGCTGGACTCTGTTCCTAAGTTAATCAATGTTCCTAATGCACATTCCCGAAGTCACTGCCCCTTCCTTAATTATCTGGTCTTGCAAGAGCTATTTACCTAAATACTCTCAATTCACAAGGGCTATAAACCAAGGGGTGCAATCAGTGGCAGGGCTGGCTGGGGTGGGGGGGGGGAGGAGGGGCTGCGGGCCTATCGTGGTAGGGTGGGCAGATGAGGGGTGGGGCTGGCTGGGGGAAGTGCAGGGGGTGGCGTTTGGCCAGCAGCCCGCCCCTGATCAGACTCTCCCACCCTGATCAAGGACAGGCCGACTGGGGGGAAGAGCAGCAGGTTGGTCGGCAAGCCCCACCCCCTGATCAAGCAGGTTTGCTGGCCACAGTGGGCGTCATAGTGACCGGTCATATTGGTCGTTCCAGCATTATGGTCACTGGCTTTTTAGATAGATGTTCTCTTATAGTTTGAGTCTTGGCTCTGAATTCTTTCCTAGCCAGAACTCAAGTACCATGATTGTTGAACCCAGGTCTGGTCCAAACCACCAGTCCAGACACCTGATGCAATTATCTAAACTAACAGTCCTATTATTATTATTATTATTATTATTATTCTAGTTTTTCTTTTTTTTTCCTGAGCAAAGTACAAAAATTTTAAATGTGCAATGTGAGTTGAAATTTTCGGGAAAACAGAATAGACACTTTCCATCTGTGTGCTTTTTTCTTATTTATTTATTTAGGTAAAATAACCCAAATTACATATTGTAATAGCATAACCTAAATTTTAGTGTTTTACCTATACAATTCAGTGGCATTAATTATTCATACTGTTGTACAACCATTAACATTATCAATGATCATCTACACCCTACCTTGGTTCCAACTACCAATCAGTAGAGCCCACAACCCTAACTTCTTTACGTTAGGGGCAGAAATAATAATCGTGCTCTGTTAACTGTGATGGTTAGGTATAGTTATGTGAACGAAAGGGGCCACAGGCTAACCTGACAAGCTCACGGGAGGCCTGCATGGCAGTCTTGCAAACTCAGAGACCTAAAGTAACCACAAAGGACTGTCTGATATTAAACTCTAACTAAAAGCAGTTATGGTGGATAGTGACATCCTAGGCCAGTATCTTCCCTGACAAGGTCAACCTTTGCCTTAACTGAGCCCATCTGTCTTTTTGCATCTATAATAACATACCCTTGAAATGTCTGGGTATCTTGTAACTTCCCTTTTTCTGGACCCCTTGGGGCAAACCTAATATGCCTGGGTGCCAGGACAGTTACCACAAATTCCTTCATTGTTATGTTAATTCTTCCTGCACCCACCTAAGTATGTGTATATCATTTTACTTCTTATTTTATTTTATTTTATTTTATTTTATTTTATTTTATTTTATTTTTTGCCCAGGACTCCTTTATTTATTTTTATATCCATGAAATTAGAGGCAAATAACTCTTAAATCTCTCTTATAGGTAGAATCTAAAATTTCTTTAGCATTTTGTTTAAAAAAAACAACAACTTTGTTCTTGTCCTTCAAGTCACCCATATTCTTGTTTTAACTTTCTCTGGTGAGTCCCCATCCATCTAAGAATGCAGTAATAAAATCTTTATAATTATTTAATAATCTGACAGAGTGCAAACAAATGATAAGGGTCATTTCCTTATGCTTAAATGCTATAATTCTTTTTGTATATATTTTATTTATTTATTTTAAATTTTTTTATTAAGTTATTACATATGTGTCCTTATCCCCACATTATCCCCTATCCCCCCCTACTCATGCCCTCACCCCCCTGATGTCTGTGTCCATTGGTTAGGCCTATTTATGCTTTCATATAAGTCCTTTGGTTGATCTCTCCCTCTTACCCCCACCCTCCCCTACCTTCCCTCTGAGGTTTGACAATCTGATCAATGCTTCTCTGCCTCTGTATCTATTATTGTTCACAAGTTTATAATGGTCTTTATTATCCGTAAATGAGTGAGATCATGTGGTATGTTTCTTTCATTGACTGGCTTATTTCACTTAGCAAAATGCTCTCCAGTTCCGTCCATGCTGTTGCAAATGGTAAGAACTCCTTCTTTTTTTACCACAGCATAGTATTCCATTGTGTAGATGTACCAAAGTTTTTTAATCCACTCATCTACTGATGGGCACTTAGGCTGTTTCCAAATCTTAGCTATGGTGAATTATGCTGCTATGAACATATGGGTGCATATATCCCTTCTGATTGGTGTTTCTAGTTTCTTGGGATATATTCATAGAAGTGGGATCTCTGGGTCAAATGGGAGTTCCATTTTTAGTTTTTTGAGGAAACTCCATGCTGTTCTCCATTATTTTACTTTTTTAAAAAATATATATTTTATTGATTTTTTTACAGAAAGGGAGAGAGACAGAGTTAGAAACATAGATGAGAAACATCGATCAGCTGCCTCCTGCACGCCCCCCCCGGGGATGTGCCCGAAACCAAGGTACATGCCCTTGACCAGAATCGAACCCGGGACCCCTCAGTCTGCAGGCTGACGCTCTATCCACTGGGCCAAACCGGCCAGGGCTCATTTTGCTTTTTATCCAATCCCAGGGGTTTCCCTGCTTTGCTTTCTCCCGCCTCTCTAGTCTATCACCAATGAGTTCATGTAACCCACTTACATCCCTTTCCTTTGATTGCAATGTATAAATACAGATGTAATCCGCCATTCTCCGGACCATTATCTCAATTCATTGAGGTTCTGCTTCCCGGCATATGTCAACAGTTTGGCTCAAATACACTCACAAAAATTCTTTACAGGTTTCAATGTATTTTTTTTTTTACATTAACAGTTATAAGAAATATTAATTATGGCTCTGGCTGGTTTTGCTCAATGGATAGAGCATCAGCCTGTGGACTGAAGGGTCCCAGGTTTGATTCTGGTCAGGGGCACATGCCCAGGTTGCGGGCTTAATCCCCAGGAGGAGCGTGCAGGAGACAGCCGGTCAATGATTTTTCCTCATCATTGATGTTTCTATCTCTCTCTTCCCCTCTGAAATTAATAAAAATATATATATATTTAAAAGAAATATTAATCATGCTCTGTTAACCATGATTGTTCTGTTCTTGATTAGAGAAAGCACATTCCAACCTGGCTGAGAGTTGTATGCCCAAGACATAGGAGTAAACCTGGAATGAAGTCTATTCTCCTTATCTGAGAACTGCCTATTACAGTGATGGCGAACCTATGACACGCATGTCAGAGGTGACACTCGAACTCATTATTTTTGGTTGATTTTTCTTTGTTAAATGGCATGTAAATATATAAAATAAATATCAAAAATATAAATCTTTGTTTTACTATGGTTGCAAATATCAAAAAATTTCTATCTGTGACACAGCACCAGAGTTAAGTTAGGGTTTTTCAAAATGCTGACACGCCGAGCTCAAAAGGTTCGCCATCACTGGCCTATTATCATGGAAAGATGAACAACCTTGTTGCCAAAACAATAGCATCCCAGCCTTTGGGGGTCGAATGACCCTTTCACAGGGGTCGCCTAAGACCATCGGAAAACACATCTATAATTACATATTGTTTTTGTGATTAATCACTCTGCTTTAATTATGTTCAATTTGTAACAATGAAATTGGGGGTCACCACAACATGAGGAACTGTATTAAAGGGTCGGGGCATTAGGAAGGTTGAGAACCACTACTATAACCGGTAACCATTACACCAGTTCTTATTCCTTTTGCCTACTTCCCCTTGTACTTTTGTCCTTCTACCCAATATAAGCAGCTGGTTTATGGGGGCTAGGGGATGGGGCAGAGCAGATTTTTGTGGATGACCTGCTGCTCTCCCATACTGTTGGCATTATTGGAATAATACAGGGTTGGCTCAAATATGATTCAACCCTGATTCTGCTTAATTGGCTCAAGTAGTGACAGGCAGTCTGGATCCAATGGTTGTCTGGTTTCATTAACTGGTGCCTCTGCTAGGATTGAATAAGCAGGGGACACCTTTGGGGTGAGTACCGGGGATCCTGCTTGCTGCCTGGACTGGGGGTTCCTGAGCATGAGGCCTGGACTCTTATTCACAGAGCTGTCAGGAATTTTCCTGTTTTGAGTGCCAGCCCCAGCCTCAGCACTCCTGTTGTCTCACCTAAGACCTAAGTTGAATCCAACACGTTTGACACAGGAAGCATTTGCTGCCTCTCATCTGGGCTTCCTTGTAAGGCACGGGAAGTGAAAGGTTAACATGGTGGTACTGGGAAGGCTAAATAGCCATCTCAGATGGTGGATAAAGAAAAACTGAGGTGATGTGTACTGGCTGGGGAAGCCACAGGCACGATGCCAGGGAATTCCCGAAGCCAGGAAATGGTTTGGCTTCAACATTTACTTGGTAGCTGGCAGGAATCCAAAGAAGCCCACCCAGGACCACCTGATGGACCTGGACCCAGAGCTAGGTACAAGCAAGGGTCTATTGTACCCACTGGC